GCTCCACAGGCTGTCGCTCACTATGAGAAGTCACTGCAGAAAGGAAAGCGCCAAATTGAGTAACTGAACTTCTCAGAGGACTGTCGAAGTATGGAGGAGGGAATGCGAGGCTCAACGCCTCGACGAGCCCTACTGGCCCTGTTTACATCAAAATCGGCTGCCCTAAGTGAAGGCAGGCCCAACCAAGGACGGGAGGCCTATTTTGGGCTACCACGCAACTGGGAAATTCAGGCAGTTGGGCAGCGCCAGTTGGTTGAGTGAGCCCAGGCCTTGCTTGTCTTTTTCCAAATGTATCTGAGGCAGGCCCTGGGCTAGACACGGGGCATGAAACTGCACGCAGGCCTCTGCCAATTGAACACGGGTAACCACCCCAGGCCCTGTGCCTGATTCCCTTGGACCGGGGCTCAGCCACTTGGGGCCTAGTGGAAGCTTCTGGGCAGGGGCCCAGCGCAGCCAGGCAGCGCGCAGCAGGCAGGCCACTTCCATATAGGAAAGTGCCTGCCTCCGCATTCGGCATTCGGGCACTTGCTACATGCTGCGCCACTGGCAGGCAAGCGCCCATGCGCTCACGGGCGAGCAGGGTATACGCAGGCAGCCATAGCCGAGCTGGCCTGTGAGGTGCTGGATGGGGCGCATGGTGGTCCTTGGGTGCACGTGGCATCTGTGTGGGGGATCGAGGTTCTGAGTGATGCGAGGGACATACCTGGTGCTTGAGGCGAACGACATTGGCCGAGATCTGCTCGTACTTCGGGGAGCTGTTGACGTCACCAGTGGCATTGTAGATAGGCTAGATAGGATCTGCCATTTGTAGTCTGGGCGCAGAGCGCCAGATAGGAAATCGACATTGGTTCTTTGTTGATGATGATGAGACTATTCCAACATTGTCACTTGTGAGCTTTTGCTGTGCTCTTATTTGGTGGAACTCGAGTTGCAATTCTGCTTTTAGTTCGAGGCCACGACTATCTGGTTTCGTGTGTATGATGCTGCTTGGTTTCTGGCTACGTAGCACCGTGTTCGCGTTCGGAGGGGAACGCGAACAAGCGCCCAAAACCCTCCGAACGCGAACATAAAAAAAAAAAAAAAAACTTCTCAGAAAAATTTGAAAAAAAAATGTTACGTAAAATAACAATACAAGCAACTTTTGCCTTGGAGTTGTGTTCAAATTCATAGCCAATCATGAGTTAAAAATAAAAAACCGAAAAAAATATATATTTTTTTTTTAAGAAAAAAAAATTATGTTCGCCCGAACATGTTCGCGAGCTGTTCGCGCGAACGTGCGAACACGTTTGCACGAACATGAAGGGTCGCGAACACGTTCGCCGCGCTACGCAGGTTTCTGGAATTCGCTATCGCTCGTTTTCCTTACAATTAATCCAAGTCGAAATTAATTATCCTTTTTCAAAATTTCAACATTTCCTGCAAAATACCTTTTTAAATCCATTATTCTCGAATAAATTCAACTAATCTATAATTAAATACAAAATTATACCTCGGAATTATTTCTCTTCAAAAAAAAATTCAAAATTCTCTTCATTTTGTAAATAAAAGTTTTCAACCCCCTGGCATGAAGCGCCAAACCAATACCTTGCGCAAAGCTGTTGAAGTCGCTGCAGCC